GATTAGTATATTGATGTGATCAATTTACTACCGGCTTAGTATTGAACCTATGGGGTCGCACACTAACGAGTGTTGTGATCTTTGCTAAAGGATTAATTACTTTAGTATTTGATAATTAAATTAAAGAATTTAATTAGTCAAATAAATAAATTATTAGTTCAAATAAAATATTATTATATTATTTGCTAGCGCAGAGGATATAATTAATATTGTGAATAAATTGAAGTTTTCTATTTGAAATAGAAAATTAAATTATGTCTCTTGGTTAAGATATATATAATTATAATTTATTTCATATGTATATAAGATGTATATAAAATAATATTAATAAATGGCTTCTCAAGTAATTCCAATTTGGAATTGGATTGATTCACGTGCACTTTCATCCCATTTGGAATGGGATAAATATGTTATAAATATGAAAATAAATGATTCCATTTTGGAATTGGAACAATCACGTGAAAGTACTATTCAGCAAAACCCAATTGAATGGGATTCAGTTTTCCATAAAAGAAAACTTATACTTGGTTTAGAATTGTACAAGGAAAAGGTCACGGCATGTAACCTTTCCTTATCATAGTGGAAAAGGTTTTTTCCAGAGGTTATAAATATTTTCCAATTGGCATGAAATTTACGGTGAAAAATCATAAGCCAGAAAATTAAGAGAAAAACGTACAATAATAGTTCTTGTAAAACAGAGAGAAAATACAATTGCAAGAAAAATGTTTCTTGTTCTTCTACCTTTGAGTTGAGATTTTTGAGAAAAATTTCAACACAATATTCTTCGTTCAATTTGTTCGCGGGTTTCGTTGATCAAAGAGTTGATAGCAAGGATCGATCTCGGTGTGGATACGCATAGAGTCTTCGCACTATCTTAGAAAATTTGAAACGAGACTCTCTTCACTAGGTACGTCTTAGATCCGATCTTTGACATGTAAATAAATTTTAAACACGAAAAGATCTGCCTAGGATTGTTATTGTGATCCACTGCGTGTTAAGAACACCTATACGCAATCCTTCAAAAGCAAAGCTGACGTCATGTGTTTTCAAGAACTCTTTCGCCATTTCTGGAGATGATGCTACAAGAACCGGTTTGGAACCAAACTTTAAGAACATCAAATCTCCATATTTTTGTGAAAGATGGTGCAATAACTCATGTGGGAGTGAACCGAGAAGGTTCAAATTGCCTATAATTGGCCATGGCCTCGGACCTGGTGGTAGTTTCCTTTTGGGGTATTGATCTTTGATGACTTTTGAAATAATAGCTAATGCTAGTAAGCATCCCAAAGCTATGACAACCGAAGAAATCTCCATTGCTGATAATGCCAAGAAAAATTTGGAGACAGTTCTTGAAGGCCTGAAAATGGCACACAGTTTAAGTGGCAGAGTTTCAATTGTTTGGAGCTCTTTCTAGCAGCCTTTGAAAACTAACGTTATGGAAAATTTCTTCTTTTCCATTATTTCTGGATTGATAATTCTAATAAGTTTAGATTATTGGTGAAATATATAATTACAGTAAATAAAATATCTTCCGGCTGAGGCGCGAATATCTCGCTTTCTTTAAGGAGATTCAAATCCAATGTTCAATGCTTGATGTGATGGATGAAGTGACAGAGATTATTAAGGTCATGCTTGAATTTGTGCATGTGATGAAAGTAGAGGAATAAACAAGCCAGAAAAGGAAGATATTTTCATGTGAAAATCTTGACGTTATTGTTCTAACCACCAGAATTAGTGTAAATTAGATAATAATAGCCTCATGACCACAACTCCACTGTCCTGGGAGGGGACCAAGCAGGGCACAGCTTGGCCTAACACTACTAAGAAAATAGCAGTCACACAATACCTAGGAAATTCAGGGCTCAGGTAGGGGCCATATAATTTTAGAGTTATTCTTACCTTCCTATTGGTCAGTATACTTTTAAAATGGCTACTTAATTAGCTCAGTCTTTTCTAAAGCATATTCATTATTTGTAGCTTTTAAGTGAAAGCAAAGAAATTTCAATTAGGGTTGCATATCTTCAGACAGTAGGAGTTCTCAATGCTAGTAAACCACATATGCCGATAAGGATTAATAAACTCCATAAAGTACTAATAAAAAAGATGGAGGCTAAGCCTTGGTTCCATGATCACAGATGTCAGGTTCTTTGGGTGTGTAGTCAATTCATAAATTTCCTCCATGCTTATATCCTCTGCTTTCATACCTCAAGTTAATTTCCAATTAAATCCGCGCAACAAGTTAGCTATCATTGTCCGAACGACCTTAATCCCAAGGCTATATCCGGGCAACTCCTCCTTCCTGAACCAAACGGCAGCAAAGTGAAGTTTTCTGTGATGATCCGATAAGTCATCTCATGTTTTAGAATTAAATTCTTTGTTCCGAAGCCTTAAATATCTTATTTTAGCCTTCCTTGATTTGCTTGTGCGGTCCGGGTGTTTTTACCGGAAGTCTTATATGTTAAAAACTAAAAAAAATAAGAATTTTTGCCTTAAAAGATAAATTGAGTTGACTTTGGTCAACGTTTTGAGAAAACAGGTCCGTACCCGCATTTCGACAGTCCCGATGGGTCCGTATCGTAATTTGGGACCTGGGGGTATTCCCGGAATCGAATTCTGAGATCCCTAGCTCGAGATATGATTTTTTGTTGAAAATTGAAAGTTTGAAAGTTTAATGCTTTTTTTTAAAGAATTGATTGATGTTTGGTCTTGTTGATACCGGGTTCTTACTTTGTTCCGGAGCCCGGTATAGGTCCACTATAATATTTAAGACTTGTCGGTGAAATTTGGTGAGAAACAGAGTTGGTTTGACGTGATTCGGACGCCCGGTTGTGAAAATAGAGATTTCAAAGTGTTCTTGAAAATTTCATTTGATTTGGTGTTCAACTCGTAATTCTAGGTGTTATTTTGGCGATTTGATCGCGCGAGCAAGTTCGTATGATGTTTTAGGACTTGTGTGCATGTTTGGTTTGGAGCCCCGAGGGCTCGGGTAATTTTCGGATAGACTACGGAGTGTTTTAAACTTAGAAAGAACAACTGAAGCATTTTAGTTTCTAGTATGTGTTGCAGGTCTCGCATTTACGAAGAAACATAGCATTTGCGAGCCTGGGCATGGTGGGGGTACTCGCATTTGCGAGTAAAAAGTTCGCATTTGCAAACTTGCCAGTTCCGCTTTTGCGAAGGTAGAGTCGCATTTGCGACTCAACACTATTTGGATTTTCTTCGCATTTGCGAAGGAATGACCGCATTTGCGAGGGGTGTAGGGTTCGCATTTGCGGCTGTATCGTATTTGCCATCTTTGGGTTTTCTGAAGGAGTTCGCAATTGCGACCTTTTTCTCGCAAATGCGAATATGGTATAGTATTTGCGATATCTGCAGCTGGCAAAACTTGACTTAGACGGGATTTTTGCTCATTCTTCAAAAATTTTAAAACAAGAAACCCTAGAGGCGATTTTCCAAAGACCATTTCTTCCCCAAAATATTGGTAAGTGATTCTAACCCATTTTCTTTCAATCTTTCATTACATTTCACAAATCTTTAACCTAAAATCTAGGATTTTCATGGTGGAAATTGGGATTTGGGTAGAATTAGGGATTCTTGTAAAAATTAGAATTTAGACCTCGAATTGAGGCCGGATTTCGAAACAAATTGCATAATCGGGCTCGGGGGTGAATGTTAATTTGATTTTGGTTTGAATCTCAGGTTTTGACTAAGCGGACCCAAGGTCGATTTTTGACTTTTTGGGAGAAAGTTTGGAAAATCTAAATTTATGTATTGTAGTTGATTCCTTTAGCAATATTTGATATTATTGAGTTAATTGTGGCTAGATACGAGTGGTTTGGAAGGGAATTCTAGGGGAAAGGCCGTGGTAGAGCTTTGAATTGACTGCAGGGTGAGGTAAATGTTGTGTCTAACCTTGACTTGAGGGAATTAGGAACCCTCAGACTATGTGTTATGTGTATTCCATGTGAGCGGTGTATATGCGAGGTGACGGGTGCTTATACGCCGCCGAATTATCTATTTTTCCTGATTTACCGTTTTCCCTTAATTATTTCCTTTCCTATCATAACTGTTATATGCTCTATATGCTTTCCATGCTTAATTGCTACTTGTTATTCAATATTTTCTCCTGTTCACAATGTTAGTTCTTTCATAGTTTCATGACTCCCTATTATTTATTTAAGTTGACTTACTTGCACATTCTAATTGTCGATTGCTGGATTGGCCTCGCTGTTTAGTATTACTCGTGTAGGTTTCCTTACTGTACAAGTTCCCTTTGGTTCAGTTTGGTATTTATTGACCGTAAAGGCTTTATGATAGAACTATTGATTTAATTGTGCTTTGAGTATTTGATACTGATATGGTAGGATCGGGCTGCACACCGCAGTAGGTGTAATAAATGTGGATTATTATGGTGGAATAAGGGTTGAATATGTTCTATACGTGAGATCGGGTTGCACGCCGCAACAGGTGGAATAAGGGTGGATTGATATGGTGAAATAAGGGTGATTTATGATACTGCGTTGATATATGGTGGGATCGGGTTGTACGACGCAACATATCTACATATATTATCACTGTTATTGATGCTATTTCGGTAGAATAAGAGAAGGTTCGTGTTGTCTGGTGGGATCAGGTTGCACGCCGCAACAACCTATATATTCTCATTTCTTGGCTCAGGTATGGGCCATATATTTAGAGTTATTCTTACGTATACTTTTAAAATGGCTACTTAATTAGCTTAGTCTTTCCTAAAGCGGATCCATTAATTGCAGCTTATGTATGAAAAAGATATCTCAGAGCTAAATGCAAGTGAAAGCAAAGAAATTTCAATTAGTATTGCATCTCTTCAAATAGTAGAGTTCTAAATGCTAGTATATATACCACTCATGCTGATAAAGATTAATAAACTCAATAAAGTACTAATAAAGATGGATGCTAAGTCTTGGTTCCATGATCATAGATGTCGGCTTCTTTGGGTGTGTAGTCAAGCCATAAATTTCCTCCATGCTTATATCCTCTGCTTTCATACCTCCAGCTAATTTCCAATTGAATCCGTGCAACAAGTTAGCTATCGTTGTCCGAACGACCTTAATCCCAAGGCTATATCCGGGGCACCTCCTCCTTCCTGAACCAAATGGCAGCAATGTAAAGTTGTCCCTTTATGTCAATGTCATTTTCTAAGAACCTTTCTGGAATGAATTCTTCTGGCCTATCCCAATACTTCGGATTTCTTCCTAAAGACCATGCATTTACAAATACTGTTGTTCCCTTTGGTATGTCATAACCAGCAATATTGCAGTCCTCAATTGAGTAATGGGGAGGAAGCAATGCACATAGAGGGTGCAGTCGAAATGTCTCTTTGATTATGGCATCTATATATGGAAGGCGACAAAAGTCCTCTTCTTCTACCCATCGTTCTTTGCCATTAACTCTGTCAAGTTCCTGATTTGCCTTCTCTATAATCTTTGGATTCCTCAAAAGTTCTTGAAATGCCCATTCTACTGTTGCAGCTGAAGTATCTGTTCCACCTGCCAGCAAATCCTAGCATAGATAGCCAAAAAGAAAAAAATTCAAGTATTAAAATGGACTGATTTAAGCTTTTATGAGCTATAATAAAATGTTTTGTGTGTTCAATTGAGAAAATAAAACAGGGATTGACCCTTTTCAAATGATTTTGCAGTTTTAGGTTTCAAAAAAATATAAATAAATTACTCTAAATAATCCTTTAATATAGTTAAATATAAATAAATTACTCTAAAAAAGAATGCGGACGATCTTTTTGGACTTTGTTGTATTATGTTACTCCCTCTGTTCCAGTTTATATGAACCTATTTTTTTTTGGTCTGCTCCAAAAAGAATGACCTATTTTAAATTTGATAACAATTTAGCTTAAACTTACTATTCAACCCTTAACGAGCAGCTTTTATAACCACACAAATACTCTGAGTCCCTTTTTGACTCGTTTAGGACCACAAGTTCTAATTTTTTTTATTTTTTTTAAACTTCGTGCCCAGTAAAAAAGGTTCACATAAATTGGAACGAAGAGAGTATGTTTTATATAACAAGAAAGCTTACATGTACTAATCCCATCAAGTGATCCTTAGTAAGCTTAACTTCAAGATTAGGGTCATCAGCTAGCTGCAATATGACATCAACCATGTCCCTTGGAACTGAATTCTCCTTTGCTTTAGCCTTGTGATCTTCAAGCACAGAGTTGTGAAATTCTACAAAGCTCTTTCCCAATTCCTTCATTCTCCTTACGTACCCTTGTGAGTCGAACCAACTCAGTAAAGGTACCCAATCCCCAAGATTGATCACCCCATTAAGTAAAAAGAATTCATCTAGCATCCACTGCAACTTTTCAAGTGATACTACTGAAGTATTTGATTTTGATTCATCATTGTAGTACTTGCCACTCATAACCATCCTACTCATATTGCAAAGTGTGAATTGAGGTAAATGGTCTTTGAGAAACACTGGCTTTCCCGAGAGAGTGTGAAGACTAGAAATCAATGTTCGTGTTTCCTCAACACGAATAGACTTGAATGACTCCAGCCTTTTGGGATTAAATATTTCGGAGAGGTAGATTTTTCGAGCTTGGCGCCAGAATGCTGAAGGATTGCGTATAGGTGTTCGTAACACGCAGCGGAACACAATAACGATCCTAGGCAGATCTTTTCATGTTTAAAATTTATTTACATATCAATAGATCGGATCTAAGACGTACCTGGTGAAGAAAGTCTTGTTTCAAATTCTTCGATAGTGCGAAGACTCTATGTGTATCCACACCGAGACTGATCCTTGCTATCAACTCTTTGATCAACGAAACCCGCGAACAAATTGAACGGAAAACTTGTGCTGAAATTTTTCTCAAAAATCTCAACTCAAAGATAGAAGAACAAGAAACACTTTTCTTGTAATTGTATTTTCTCTCTTGGCTTTGTATTGCACTCTCACTTTCACAAAGTGTTTTTCTTCTCAAGAATAATAATACGGCAAATATTCTCCATCACCCTTTATATAGTATTACCTATAAATCCTTTTCGTATTTGGTTGAGGTAATGATTTACTTAGGGTAAAAGTTTATTCCAAAAATAAACTTCAATCGAATTTTATGGAAAATTGATAAATCACGTCTTCATGAGAAAGTGACTACCGAATCCATTCCTCCAACTTAAAATTGGATTCTCGCCAATCTAACTTAATGTTGGATTCATTCTATACGTCCTTTGTGGACTTTATATTTCCAATTCCAAATTGG